GATTACAGGCTGAGCCACCAAGCCCGGCTAATAGAATATATTTTCTTACAGTTCTGGAGTCTGGAAGTTCAAGATGAGAATGCTTGAACTTGTTTCGATTTTAGTGTGGCCTCTCTTCCTGGCTTGCAGACATCTGCCTTCTTGCTATTTGCTTACATAAACTTTCCTCAGTGTGAATGTATGGAAAAAGAAAAAGAGAGAGGTTTCTTTCTTTTTTATATGACAATCATCCTATAGGATTAACATTCCACCCTCACCTTCTTTAACCTTAATTAACTCCTGGAAGGTCTTGTCTCCAAATAACATCAAGTTGGGGGTTAGGAATTCACCATATAAATTTTGGGAGAGAGGAAAGGAAACAATTCAGTTCATAACAATAGATAACAGTAAACCCAGTGAAGCAGATTTTTTACTTTTTTCTGAGAGACAGAAAAAATACCATTTCAAATTTGTTATCCTCAAATGTTTCAAACTGTTATGATGTCAAGAAATACTGGAGTAGAAGATTATTTTATAATGGGAATTATCACTCTTATGGCCCTTTCTTTTTCTATGAATGTAGAGCAAACATGTGAAAAAGACTGGAAATTAGGAAGTTTGGCAAATTTGAGGGTTCTGATTTTTCTGACACAAGAATTTTTACTGTCTGTATACTGTACACATTAGTATGCTAAGATTGGGTCGTCTGGAGTGGGGGAGGGTAGCAACTGGAGAGCAGGCCTTCTGAGAGAAAGGTAATCAAGAACTAGACCCTTTTTCTAACAAGTTAGAAGTTATTGCAGCATATCATATACAGAAAATGGCCCTTACTGATGTAAACAAGAAGCAACATCAGTCCAACTATTCATCCCCTCTTCTAATCAAGAATACTCATTTTTATTGAGGAGAAGTTTGAAATGTGACTCCAGCTGCACAGGAGAGACTCGCTAAAGGAAGAAGACTGGTTCCTGGTATACTGGGCTTCTGCTGATTGCTCCTGGCTCCATGGAGGTGTCAAAACAAATAAAAGATGTGTTTGAGCCCAGGTCTCTATGGCTATAGATGAGTATAACACTGGAGAAAGAAAGATCCTTTCTTTTTATTTCTATTACACCCTTATACGGTGGCTTATGCATAGAACACTTCAAAACTTCTTAAGTAGACAGACGTCTGTACCAGACTACTGAGCTATCTGTTCTCATGTGGACAAACTGCTAAATAATGTAACAACAACAGCTACAGAGAATGGGCCAGTGGACTTACTACATTTTCTAGTATTTTCCACGACTAGTATTTTCTAGTATTTTCCACCACAATTGTAACCAGGTGTGATCTCTTGGATTGCTTAAAGCCCTTAGGATTTTGAAATTATCCTTGAAAAGGGGGACCAAATGAGGGAAGAACAAATATTTCTAGTAAACCAGATGGGAGTTTAGAGTCAAATATTTTAAATATTAAGGGAAATGTACCACAGGGTGATGAAGGGCATATCTGGTAGGTAATAGATTAAAAAGAGAAAGAAATATGAATATAAGTAAGAAGATAAAAAGTAAATTATATATAATATATACACATATTGCTTCTATGTGTATATCTATATGATAATTTTACCTCATGCTGCTAATAGTGATTATTTTTGTAGCCAATTTTTGTCCATACAGTTAAACTTTTCAACAATTAAGTACAGATTCTATAATAAGAAATATATATTAATTATTTCTAATTTTAAAAAGAAATCTTGCATCTCAGAAAAAAATCAAAAAGAAGATATTAATTTTGAAGGTGCTAATCTTTTGTAGGTATGTGTACTATGCAAGTGAGCTAGTCATCTCAGCTGGACCACTGGCATTTTGCAGCAGAAATTATTATTTTTAGTGATAACTTACAAATTTCTGTTGTTTTGTGTGAATTATCACCGCTACTATAGTTTATGTGAGAATTAACAAAATAACAAGTGGTAATCAGCCGGGCGTGGTAGCACATGCCTGTAATTCCGGCTACTGGGAAGGCTGAGGCAGAAGGATCGCCGGAGCCCAACAGGTCGATGCTGTGGTGGCCGGGAGCGGCCACTGCATTCCAGTCTGGGCGACAGAGTGAGACTCCAACTCAAAAAAATAAAAATAAAAATAAAAATAACAGAGTGTTACATTTTCCTTATTGCCTCAACACTTTCTTGTTTCAGTCACCTCATATGTTAACTCATTTTGTCAAGTTTGGAGTTTCCTTTTGTTGATATGTGAGGCCAACAGACAGTTTCCCACCCTCAAATCCTGGTGAAAAAAAAGTCAAAATAGAGCATGCTTACCTTCAAATTGTTTTCTCTCTCTCTCTCTCTCTCTCTCTCTCTCTCTCTCTCTCTCACTCACTCACTCACTTTCACGCTCACTCTCACTTAATTTTACTATAGAGGTGTGGGATACAAGTCAGGATTAGGTACAAAAGTAGTCTATGTGCAGATGAAGCTTGGACCTCCAAGTGGTCTTTACATCCCCTGGCTTAGGACCAGGTATCCTTGTGTTGTTACCTTCCTTCCCCTCTCCTTCCCTCCCCTGGCAGTGTCCCACAACTGCCAATCCATCCCTTGTGCTATTGTATTGTGATTAACGTTGTTGGGGTTTGTTATTGTTTTTCCTTCCTTCCTCCCTTCCTCCCTCCCTCCCTCCCTCCCTCTCACCCTCCCTTCCTTTCTTTTTCTTTCTTTCGTTGAGTTGGAGTCACTCTGTAACCCAGGCTGGAGTGCTATAGCACACTCACGGACACCCCAGCGTCGACCTGCTGGGCTCCGGTGATCCTTCCGCCTCAGCCTTCCAAGTAGTCGGAACTACAGGCGTGTGCTACCACACCTGACTAATTTTTTTTATTTATTGTAGAGATGTGGTCTCACCAAGTTGCCAGACTGGTCTCAAACCCGTGGGTTCAGGCAGTCCACTCGCCTCGGCCTCCCAAAGTGCTAGGATTATAAGCTGAGTCACCAAGCCTGGCCCTTTCTCTTTTTTTGGAGGTGAAATCTCACTCTATACCCAGATTGTAGTGCAGTGGCACGATCAGGGCTCACCACAGCCTTGACCTCCTAGGCCCAAGTGACCCTTCTGCTTCAACCTCTTGAGTAGCTAGGACTACAGGCGCACCCCACCACACTCAGCTATTTTTTTTTACTTTTTGTAGAGACAAGATCTCGCTATGTTGCCCAAGCTGGTCTCAAACTCCTGGGCTCAAGTGATCCTCTCACCTTGGCCTCCCAGAGTGCTGGGCTTAAAGGCATGAGTCACATACCTGGCAATGTCTTTTTTTAATTTTTAATTTTTAAAGATGTGGGGTACAATTCAGGGTTAAGTATACAAATGTTCATTATGCAGGTACCGTTGTTGATGAGGTGTACCCTCCCTCCCCTGGCAGTTTCCCTCAACTGGCAATCCCATCCCATCTTATTTTTTATGCAGGCCTCAAAAGATCGGCGGGGGGAGGTTATTTTGCAAAATAATCTATTTACTAGATCTGATTTAGAGCTATAAAATGTGGAAATAATACTTGTTTTGCTATAACAAAAGTACATAATACTACTGCAAATTGCAAGACATGAATTTATCTGGTAACCCTGTATGATATCATTTCAAATATCTAAAGTTCATATCAACATATTTGTTCCCTTAAAAAAAAAACTTTTGAGTTGTCACTCATATTTTATGTATAAGGTAGAGCAGGCAGCAGGGGGTAGGGGTGACTTCATGTAGTTCTATACAGCAGGGAGAACAAAAAAAGGGCAATGGAGAATAAGAGAGAAAGCCTCATTCATGTGCCTCCTCTCTTTTTCTTCCTAAGTGCAAATATAGTGCCTGCCGGGAGGCGCTCATATTACTGAGGTTAGGGATGCTCAGGCCCCGAGGTTTGGATTGAAGGTTGCAGGGCTATGTAAGACAACCTCTGAAATATCTGCTTGGTAGCCTAAGATTTATATTTAAGGCACTAAATACCATTATTGAAACCATCTATTTCACCTGTCAGACCCAAATATAAAGATTAGTCAGAACTCCTTTGTGCCTCAGTTTTCTTATTTGTAAAATGAGAATCATTGAGTCATTCTGAGACTAAAATGAGCTAATGCATATAAAGTACCTACTTCCTAGCACATAATGCTCATCAAATAGTAGCTAATTTGTTGGTGGTGGTGGTGTTAGGTGGGATGAAAAAAAGTGGGATCATGAGAAAGAAAGGGGATTAGATAATACCTTGAAAAGCAGCCAAATTAGAAGAAAACAGTCTCATTTGCTATCTGAGAAGCTTATATGAAATGTAAATTTTCTAAGAGGGGAAGAGGATATGTATACCTTTGTACACTCTTACAATTAGAGTTCACACATTCTTGCACTGTCTTCTACATTGGCATTTCTTAGTCCTAGGAAAAACCACTTGAAGGCTATTCAGGGCTCAATACTGGGCTTCCATGAAAGATGAAGCAAGGCTTAAAATCCCAAGAACTAGAGAAGCAATTATATTTATTAAGGAAAGTCCCTGGGGGTACTAATATAATTTATATAATAATTATTATTGTGGTAGAGGAAATGGCATAAGCTAAATGTTGACATCTGAATAAGTGTTCATCAATTGGATAATAGGTCCTGGGGGTAGGGATGATTGGAAGGGTGTTCAGGAAGACAGAGTTGTGTGACTAAAAGCAGAGAGATATGAAAGAGCATTGGTCCCTTAAAAAACAAGTGATTTTGTGGTGCAATGGAGGTATGACAGAGGAAAAAAAAAAAAGGCCAGAGAAGCTGGGAAGTGTTGAATCTTCCAAGGTCTTGCAGACCGTGATAAGCAACCTGGACTTTGCTTTCATGTTTAATAGGGAATTATGGTTGGATATCAAGAGAGGGACACTAGAATAGCATGGCAAGAGGCCAGGTGAGTAACAATGGGAGCTAAAACTAAGAAGTATCAATGGGGATTGAATAAAGGATATGGATACAAGAGAAGGTAGGAATCAATACTTAGAGGTAATTAAAATAAAAAATAAACACATATAATCTTCCAATTAAAGATTTTATTTATATGGAGTGTTTTACAAAATTATTCAAAACATGAAGTAATAGTTGCTTATACATTTAACTATTTTGTTGAAAATAATATGATTACGTAAAATTAAGACTTTCCCAGAAAGTGCTGTGAAAGGATTCTTCAATCTATAGCTCTGGAATCTGGCATAGATGCTGAGTTACCAAGAGTTTAGTTCTACTTCAGAAAGGTATTGGTCTAAGAAGGTCCTAAGTAATCTAATATAACATGGGGCTGATGCAGAACAAAATCTTGACATTCTAAAATTAAAATTTATACTCTAATCTAAGTAAACTTTAGGTAACTCAGTCAGTTTCAGATACTCCTCTACATTAGGAGCTCTAATAGTTTTTGCGAAGGAGCTCTATTGACCAGCAGTTGGTTTAAAATAGCTCCATAGAATCCTATAAATTCTAGAACAAACAGCATCCATAGTTATAGTTTAAACTATCTCCATGGTATGTATTTCAAAGGCACATTGCACTGCTCTGAGAGGTTTGCTGCTTTGCACCAAACTTGTATTTAGCTAGGTCTCTTATCCACCCCACCTCCTGCCTCTGCAAACCCCAGGTATCAAAATATTATTCTGACACAATCTATTTCTCTACCAGCTAACAGCTTATTAGAAGTTAAAGAGTTAAAGAAGCCACTCAGATATTTTGGAAAGCAACCCAGAACCAAAGCATCAATAATAAAAATCAAGTCAAAGTCCTATATGTCAAAGCACCACATCCAAAAGGTCAAGGATGTAAAAATGACCTTTACATTTTATAACAATACACAGTGTTTAGTTATTGTTTTCAAAACAGTTATCAGAGAAAATAGAAATCTTTAACAATGGTTAAAATAGAAAGTTTTTTAAAGGTGTTTATTCAGAGTTTAGTGAACACTCAAATATTTGTTAATATCAGTTCTATGCTACGACACAGTTTAATTTCTATAACTGTAAAAATAAGCTAAAATGTAGTAATATGATTCAATCTATATTCCTAGCTCTGTTCAGTATGTAGTTATATCTTAAGCATAAATTTATACACAAGTGAAATGCAAAAGAAATATAATTTATAACTTTTTTCTTCTAAGTTTATGCCTAGAGCCTGAATAATCCAGTACTAATCTATTATAATATACTCAACTTATAAGTGCTCAACTCTCTTACAATGTTGTCCTGTAAATAATGAAAAGACTGGCCCTGGTTCAAGGGGACAATCTGATGAAAATGTATATAAAACTCCACTAAGAAACACCAACATCTTTTACAGAGAAATCTGAACTGCAAATCATCATTCACAATTTATTGTTAATTATAATTTGAGATAAATCCCCAGTTAGTTCTAGGTTATGGATATGTCTTACCAGTGACAATTTTGTACTGATATACCAGAAAAACAATGGGCAATTCCTGAAAGTCACTAGAGGAGAAACCTTATAATTAAATTTGGTTTTCTGTTCTAGAAGAGTGGGAAAAGATTAGCTAAGGAGGAAAAGCTTATTATTTTGCCAAAGCCATTTTAAAGATAATTTGGGTGAGCCTCAAACCAAGCTATCTTCATTATATGCCTTCTGCTCTCTTGTTTAAGACACGAAGGTCTCCATTTCTCTAAGAGAATCACTTTTTCGGCAAGACACACTTTCTCTCTTGCCTTGGAGCCAAGTAATTGGAACCCTAAACACACTGCGGAGCTTCTGTTGGAACCGGTTTCCAACAAAACAATACAAAAAGGGATTAACGCAGCTGTTGGTGAATCCCAGGAGGATGGCAAAAGGAAGTGCCAGGTCAATGACTGCTATAACTTCACAGCTATTAATGACACCCATCCAGGCCAGAGCATCCAGGAAGGTCAGAACATGGAAGGGAAGCCAGCAAATGATGAACGCCAGAACAACAGCAGCTGCCATCTTTAGGACTTGGTCACGGGTTATTCTGTTCTTCCCATAGTTATTGGTCTTCAGTAAATGTTTTCTGATTCCGAAATAACATGTTGCTATGAATATTAAAGGGATAATAAAACCAAGGATATTTTTCATTAAGGCAATCCCAGCTGACCATTGGGCATATTTCTCGGGTGGAAAAGCCATAATACAAGCATTTACTCCTAAGTATTCAATGGTTCTGACATCTCTGAAATAAAATGTTGGCAATGAGGACAAACAGGCCATACACCAAACAAGGGGAACTATATAAGATGCTTGCCAGGGATTTCTTCTTTGGGACAGAAAGGGGTAGATCACCGATTGATATCTATCAACACTCATGCAGGTGATAAAAAAAATGCTTGCAAACATGTTCAGGGTCAGAAAAGAACCAAAAACTTTGCACATCACAGGTCCAAAGAGCCAGTCATATCTGTAAGAATAATAGGTTGCCCAGAGAGGAAGAGTAGCCAAAAGGAGTAAGTCAGCCACAGCCAAGTTGAAGATGTAAATGCTGGAAACCTTTTTAGGACCCTTTTGACAACAAAACAGTGTAACCACAACAATATTGACCAGAAATCCAATCACAAAAATAATGTAGTAGAGAATAGGAATTGCATCTAAATGCTTATCTGATGGTTTATGTGAGCAGTTCAAGGTAGACTCGTTGTCAGAGATATTCACAGTTCCGAAGTGAAGACTGTCAGTGGTTATGTTTTTGCTGATGGTGTCAAGAGTGAAGTTGCCCTTCATACTGAAATGTCAGCAGCTCCTAATTCTCACGCCTTCTGTGAGGGGAAAAAAAGAAACTTTGAGAACACGTACAGAACTGAGAACATTCTTGAGTCATTATCATTTTAAAGGTTTGTCAAAAGCAAAAAAGAAAAGTGGATGATTATAGAAGACGTTATGAAACAGAACCATGCCTTGTGAATCAAAAATGGATTTTACCTCTTGATGAAAAAGAAAGTTTTCTCAATAATAGTAGTAAGACATATCAGCCTTAGGGACTGAAAGTTCTGACTAAAACTACCTTTTGCACATCTTTTGTATCATGTTTTTGAAAGGCGTAGAGATAATATTTCAAAAGATTAGTCAAGATAGGAATGAAACAAATAGGAAGAAACCCAGAAACAACAAAAGTTAATATTTCAAAAGCACTTGAGCATATATCTCAGTTTGTATACTTTCTAGAAACCACACTACTGCCTACTATTGCATAGAAAAATGCTCTATTCGAGTAACTAATTATATACAAATCATTATAGCTATGGTAAATATAAGTAACATAAGCTCTGGAAAAAATAAGTAAGTGTACAAAAGACTGAAAGAAAATTTGCAAAAGGAACATATTAGGATGGAGAATCATGATTGGTTTTTACTAATTAAAAATAATCCCTTGTAGTGGGAATCTGCCAGGGAAGGAGGGAGCATACCTCATCAACAAGGGTACCTGCATAATGAATATTTGTATACCTAACCCTGAATTGTACCCCACATATTTAAAATTTAAAAAATAATAATAATCCCTTTAGTTCTACATTTCCATTGTTTTCACAATAATAATATAGTTAAGAAGTTATGTAATGTGTGCCTATTTCTAAAAAGCCCTCTGTTTTGATTTGAATGGAAAATAGTAGTTTTAGATATAGACATTTGGTTAGTCTATTTCATAGAAAAAGAAGTAATTTTCAATTTAATCAGGAAAAGAAAAATACAGCCAAACCTGTTTTAGGCTCAAGTAGAAATAGTTTTGAATCCTCAATGAAATAAGAATTGAACATCAATGATTAATTATGACAGAGTCATCATTTTTCCTTTGCAGTCTTTTTAGTTTAACAGAATTAAACAGCCGTTGTTCTCAAATGTTATAATCAATGTTCAGGTTTCTGTGATTTTTTTTTACTAGTCACATTATTTTAAAACAAAGGAAAATTAGTTAAAGATAAACACACTAAGGGAAAGATTACTTTAGTTTCAAAATACATGCAAATAAACTACCCAATTAAAATTGTAATCACCAAAGAATCTCCTAATAAACAACAAAACTATTATTTTTTGTCTAAAGCTCATTCTTTTGTAAGTCCTAACAAATTAACATAAAAGAATAAAAAATCCCACTTGAAGACTTACTGGTTGTTGGAGTTTAAAGCAGTTGTCATAAATCAGCTTGCCTAATTCCTAAATGCACCCTGTAAGAGAAACATCAGTTAAATAATTTAGGAGTTTTGCAAAATAACAGTGTTAAAACACAGGAAAAAGGGAAGTTCGTCCATAAAAATTATTCTCATTTAACATATGCTCTACTTTCCAAAAAGTTATATAAATTGTTCAGACATACCTTAAAAATTCAGTCTGAAGAATGCCTTGAATTCTGTGCTTATTCGTTCCCTTAGACTCGGGGACGTAATAGCACCAGATCTCTGGTTTCCTTCTTATATGTTCGGTCTGTCCACTGGGAGCCTTCAACCTACATAATTCTAGGGCTGACTTATGAACACTTGCCAGCTTTCCAGAGGTTTTTTTTTTTGGCTGCAAAACATTAATCTGAAATTCTCACTGTCTCCAATCATAACAGCTCATTCAAATAAATCTCAAACAAAAAAATGAAGTTTCCACAAATGTGTTAGAGAATTTTGAAGCCAGTGGCTTGCTTTAAAAGAAGAATATAATAATTATTTGCAGAATTTTCTCTTTCTTTCCCCCTTGATATTGGCATTGTAAAATGAGTTGAGCAGTTGAGACTCGGGAATTTCTTTTAGTAGCAAAGTCTTTGTTCACAAACATTTTTTTACAGGCTTCATAACTTTTCAGAATAGTTACCCCTGTTTATTAAAGAATAGTAGCAAATTTACTTGAAGTCTACAATGTCTAAAATGTCTCCATCACTTTATGCAGTTTTTGTTGGCTTTTTTGCTAAAGGGTTGGAGATAGCAGGGATATAATTTTATGTGACAGAAAAAGGGTATTAACATTTAGTGCTTCATTTCATCAGTCTCTGTCATATTTTTAGTTGAAATACAAAACACAGAAGGTGAAGAAGGATTACACAGCTATTTCAGCTCAGAACATGTTGCTGTTGCTGCAGTTTTCTCTTGTAACAGTGGGGGCGATCAACTTGACACAACCAGTCTAGTGGGAGCAAGAGAGACAAAATAAAGAAAGACAAGAACAGGTGATGGTAGTGATACTACTAACTGACAATAAATGCTATGTGCCAAACACTGTGCTGAATTCTTTCTCCTCAATAGTATAATAGAGACACATTATAGCACTCTGGTAAGTACATGGCCTCTGGGATCCAACTACCTGGCTTCAAAAACCCAGCTCTTCCATTTGCTAATACTGACCTTGGTCAAGTTACTTTCCTTCCTTATGTTTCAATTTTCTGATCCGAAAAATGGGAATGATGTTAAATACCTACATCATGGAGTCATAAAAATTAAACTAGTTAATGTATTTAAAGTGCTTAAAATGGTAAGCAGTATTATAAGCTATTACTATTACTCTTCACTTTACATATCAGGAAAATAAGGCTCACAGAATTTAAATATCTTTGTTGAGATCACACAACCTCACAAAATGAAGGAATTTAAATGTAAACCAAGGCAAACTGATGTCAGAGCTAATGCTCTGTACTACAAGAGGAAGCCCTAGCTGGACCTTTAGTCTTGTCCTTTATTCTGGCAAAAAGGAAACGTGGCATTTACAGAAAAATCACTGCTGACCACTCATAAGCTATTACAAAAGCACCAAAGAAGGGGGGAAAAGTCAGGAGGATTGTTATGTGGGGAAAAGTATGTTTTCTTAATTTTATTCTGTAAATGGAGACCACAGGATAAAAGATAAGTGTGACTAGATAGCTTTCTATAGTTAGAACAAAAAAACCAGGGAGCTCAGAACACTTAAATGGGCAAAAGGATTCCAATTATTTCTATGGATCATATTTTTCAGATAAGCAGTAAGAACGCACCTGTCCATGCTGCAAGCCAGATGGGACCAGTAAGAAAAGGTCACCATTGCCTGAAAAATACAGTAGGATTCAAAGGTTTTTAAAAGGCCATTATAGCGTTTCTTTTGATAGACAGTTTGAACATTGACAAAACGCTCCTAATTATGTAGGCATCATTTTATTAAATCAAAATATTTTATTCCTATGCTCTGGACAGATTCACATCCAGGCTCTGTCCAAATGATGGAAAACTGATGTTTGGGAAACAAATGAACGGGCACATATGTTTATCGGCAGGAAAGTTGAAATAGGAACTGGTTTCACTCATTGTTTAAGTCTGGTTTCTCCCTCCATTTCACTTGTTTGTTTTTGCCACATAAAGGGGAATTTTCCAGGCCAGAGCCTCCTGAGTGGTCACAATGGGTCAGATTCCCACCCTGCTCTATTTCTAGCCCCCTCTCATGCCCCTTGTAAAGAAACAGCCAGGAGGTGAGCTATAAACTTTTGAGAACAAACGACAGGCTTGCCTCCGGGAGACCTAGCCTTGAACACCCCCGAGGAGCACGAGACCTTGTCTAGAGCTTTCGTCCTTCATTACAGTAAGTTCTGACGTAAATAAAGTTTAAAGTGGCACACATTTCCCAGAAGATTAAAAGGACATTAACTCTGCTTCTTCATCATTTTACGAGTAAAGCTTTTCACAAGTCAAGAAAAATTTTGTAACTGCAGGAAATTAAGGAAAAAAGTTTAAAAAAGGAAAAGCAATAATATTGACACCACTTGAAGCAAGAAATACAGCATATTATTGATTCAGCAAAGAACTCCCAGTTAAGCCAACAATGTAAATACTCTTGAGAGTCAAATAAATGTCAGTCCTGGGAAGCAGTACAACACAAAAAGTTCATTCTCCTGGGGGCAGGGGGTAATTTTTCTGCTGGAAGATTGACTTTAAAAACTTCGGGTCATTTGAATAAATTATGCAGCTCCTCAGGACAAGTGCAGCTGGGCTAGCAGAATTAAACAATGGTAAATCACATTAAATTAATTTCTTCTAATGAATACCTATTGTTTAATGAGAGATTACTTAACAGTAAATTTTAAGGGTTGGAAAAAAGATGTTCTTGAGAGGAATTTCTCCTCTGCTAGAAGGATACAGGGTTCCTAACACATTTTATTTGTGCCTCTCATGCCTACCCCCCCAACACATAGATGAGGCCTCAAAGGAGAAAAGAAATACATAAATGCAAAAGTCTGAATGTGCATGCCCTGCTTATAGATGTGATGATTAGAGGTGCAGATTAGGGAATGATTGAATATATATGGGTCTTCTGTTTTAGTCTAAGTTTTTCAAATTATTTTAATTTTCCCCTACCTCAGCCACCTCTCTGGGTCGCTATCTAGACCGATATCATTGCCACTTCTGCCAGCTTCAAAACACACACACACACACACACACACACACACACACACACACACACACACATATACACACACACAATTCACCCTGTGCATCCATGAACATACTTCATACCAATCTTTTTTTTTTTAACTCAAATTCATTTATCCATAGGGAAGCCTTACTTTAATTGTCACTGAACTTATTTCTGACCTGGGGGGTCCCTGGAAGGAGGATAGTTAAGATTGCTCATTATTGACAAGTCTTCAGATTATTTTTGTGCCTTTATTTAGTTTTCAATATAATGAGAACAGAAATGTCAGGAGGAAAACACATGGAAAACAATAATGTCTTCTATTCCGAACTAATAATCAAGATTGGCCATTTTGTAGAAACCAATCTAAAACTTCAGTGAAATAACCAAAATGAGTGACTATTTAAGTCAAATTAATTGTCTATCTAGACATCACAAAAAGAGTGACTGAGGGACTATGAAGTCAGTTAAGGTGGAATCCATGTAGTGAGATGAATGGATGTCTGATTCAGTACATTCCTGAGACCAGTTACTTCCAGCTGAATCTAGGCTCAAGAACATAAGGTGAAGAAACAGTCTGAAATTCCCTTTGCCCCAAAGACACCTGCTGGCCTGATCACATGTTCAGACCAGGATCTCACAGAAAGCACCCTAGTTCTATCAAGAAGCATCTTAAATGCAGTGTAACCCAACCGGTGGGAAAAAATGTTTTAAATGAAAATTGTCTATATTTTTTGTTTACATTCAAAATATCAACTGATTTGTCATTTTTTTCCCACTGATATGTCTAAGTTAATTAGCTTGACTATGTTATCGAAAATGGCCAGTTGATTAAATTGGCCACTTGTCTTGGCAATATTTAAACAATCGCGTTAGGTAATGGGGATGTTTTTGGGAGATGTTGTCAAGTTTGATCAACAAAATTGTTGTCTAGAGTTTGGTCCTCAGGCTTGAGTCTGGAAACTGAACTTTCTTAGGGTACCCGAACTTTCAGTTTTGGCTCATGCCAACCAAATTCTCTCAAAATTGATGTAGTACCTCGATTGCTAATTCACTATTTTGCAATAGAGATATATTACTTTCCAGTGATCATAAAGCTTGTGTTTCTTATCTGAGGCACCCTTTCCATCTCCTCAATACCTAGAAATTGGGAAACCAGGTTTGGTGACCATGCGATCAGACCAGGAAAGCTGGTAACTGGGAGTATATTTCTCTTTAACTCTGGGAAATCTTATATGAGAGATTATCATTCAAGAATCCAGATTGACAAGTCCTCCAAACCAGTCTCTCCACCAATTTTGCCTCTCTGAACCTTGGTTTTTCAGTAGCTATTCCCTTCTATTGATATATCATTTGAGATATTACAATTATTGATGAAGCTATAGACAAGTCCCTGCTCCAGGTAACCTAGAAGTCATTCAAGCTCTGCTTTTGGTTAATTAGACAAACTCTCAGAGTTGAAGATTGACTGGGGAGGGCAATTCCTCACTAAAGAGAGAAGGAAAGGAGTGAATAAAGCTCTCTCCAAACTGGGTCATTCACACAGAGGAAATATTTATAGCAAATGGTTGTTTGGCTTTGTTTAAGGAGGTGATTTGCTCCAACCTCTCCTTCATGCTCCTAAAATAATTTTAAGAAACAATAAAGAGTTGTACAGTTTTGTCTACTTTTTGTCTTTGAGGTACAAAATTATTTAGTATTAGAAGACAGCGCAAGATGATAAGAAATTTAGAATGGGCTTCTGGGAGAATCCTGGGGTCTTTACTGCAAAGAAATGAAAACAGGAGACTTATCACTGGGAAATATGAGACTGCTTGAGCTTTTAAATATTTATCCTATAGATATTTGGATTGATGGTTTTCAATAAGGATTTATAAAATCTATAACTGAAAGCAGAACTTTTATTGTAAATAGTTTGCAATGCATCCACAAAGAAAATAGTGTATGTTCAGATATCTAAAAGTTGATAACATTTCTTATAATTGTTTCAGTATTAACACTCCTATTTTATATTGGTTCTGTTGGCCACACAACAGAAATTATTTCTTATTTATTTAGAGTCAGAGTCTCA